AAATGTATACAGCACATTATTAAGCATGGAAATGGCTCCCAAAATATTTTCGCGTTTGTCGAATCCTACGCGATGTTTGACTCCACTACGACGCTATGACCTTTGTTTGTCCTGTTTTTACGTTCGATTTCACGCATAACGCGTGATTCTCGCAGTGAACGGAAAATGGTCTATTCCGAACTTCAAATTTTGAGTAACTGTATGTGTAAAATGGTGTGCGAAGACCTTATGTCCTTGGAGTTGCAACAAGTGACGTTGTTCTAAAAGCCTCAACATTAGATATTTTTTTCTATATATACAGGTTGCAAGACTTAAATTGTCTCAATTGATAACCGCCGCAAAATTGTTCCTGGTTGGCGGGTTTGCAACACCTAGATATTGCACTGCACAATTCAGTCGTACATATAATGAATAACTAGAACAAAGAGTTCTAGACAAGTGTGCTGTGATGTAATTATCAATGGCGCATAGTATATTCAACTTTGTAATATAAACAAAGTGTAAAAAGAAATTTATGAAGAGAAAACCGAATGTCTTCAAAATATCATTTAGAGAGACAAGATTTTAGTCGAATACAGCACCTTGCACGCGACTTTCTTCAGGGGAATTCAGTGTGCATTTGTAATAATTAAAGAAGTTTATCTTGAACGGCGATAGTCGTCACACCGCGCATGTGCGATAGTCGTGTTGATAACCCGATGTATTCGTCTGATGGAATTCACAAGTACGAGTTTTGACTCCTGCGATACCTTGCAATCACCAAAGAAATTACATACTTAAAGCCTAGTGACGTATCAGTCTGTACTCGTTGGTCTGCGCAACAGTCAAACCCGCCATCTTGGTTCACATGAAACAAATATCTCGCGCATGCATGACGCGTCCTTTAATGCATTGTACAATTTCATCTATTCAATGTTCAATTCGATAAGTTATTGTTTCATCGGCGTGGACAGTATGATCTATATTTGTATTCAGTTGTCCACTCCCATCACCACCCTGCATCTCGTTGTAGCAAAGTATGACAGACTGGCCATTGATAGTTTTTCTTCGTTTGGTTCATCTGTTTAGCTAAACGCAGTGAGCAGACATTGTCTGAGCGGACATTGCTTAGTATAGTAGCAGGATCTATTTCAGTAGACAGACGACTACCTAATATGAAGAACCCTGCTCTGACATACTTATAGTAGAGTTCATAGAAGACTACAAACAGTAAACGTTCACACATTTTCATGTGTTTTTTGCCAACTTCATATTACACAACATAATTATTTGATGCATGTGCATTACATTATAAAAAAACAACAACATACGGTGCTATGTGTTTTGATCAATGGTAACCTCCATCATATTTCAATCCATGTCTTATATTACAACTAGAAAATCTTCATTTCCCCACATATTTTGAAGCTCTCCTGAATTTAATACTTCTACGTTCATTCTGTCTACATTCAATCAACATTTGGAATTTTATCACTATTACCATAACAATCAGATCTACATTCCTAAACATTTAATGTTGATTGCATCAAATGCAACATTTCCTGGAATGTTTATGGAAATAATTTTGTAATATTTTGTTACAAATGAAAATAATACCCGGAATTGTTGGTTCCATAGCAACCGTATCTAAATCTCCACCTATATTAAAATATTCTGAGAATTTATCCACAAGTATTTGAGCTACAAATGAAGAATCATTCACGAAATAATTGTTTTCATGGCAACCCAAATGTAATGAATTTGTCTATTGCTTCAAGGGCAACCTCCCCTAAATATGTTATACTAATATGTACATAATTTGTTGAATTATAAAAAAAAACTATTTTCCAAAATTGTTGTTGGATTACGTCCTTCACATTATGAAAAACTGGTACTCTCTCGTACATGTGTAATTATCATTGGGGTGTCAACTACACCTGCTCGCACATATGAGTTGTCTTTACTTTCACTAAACAAGACATTAACATCCTCATCAGGTAATATTCCCTGTGGGATGATGGGTAATCCTACGTTTAGCAATCGCATACAAAGTAGAATATAACTAACCTACGACACCAACACCAGTATGTGACAGATCAATAAACAGTGTTATAAACGTAATTGACATTTTTGATATCATGCATTATCAGTTAATAATCCAAAACAAATCAAAATAAAACGTGCTTATATGTAAACAATTGCACGAAAACTACATCGTGTTTACGAAGGTAGTATGGTTATAAAATGATGCTACTCGACATATACACGTTATTGTTTTTTGAGTTATAAATAAAGAAAACATATTCTCTGAATTGTCTGGCAACCATAATATAACTCAGCCAACGTTCAATGGTTATGTTCATTGCTTCTATGACACCCTGTAAATAATTATAATAATAAAATTGTTGTTGTTTGGCCCAAATCTAATTGATAAGTCCGTATTAAGTGTTTTAGTTATAAATAAAAAATCATTCCAATAATGGTGTTACCATGACAACCAAATCAGAATCTCTACCAAAATCAATTAGTTCATATCAACCAACTTTTATGAGTATTCATCCTTACGTTTTCGAGTCATAACTGAAAAAGCTTACCATAAACGCCAACTATATCCACACCTGTACCGAAATCTAATTGCACCCCTTCTAACAATTTTATGAGAATCCATTTACAGCAACTAATCAAAACTCGAACCGTTGCTATCGTAAACATAAATATGTTGGCTTTGGTGTATATTTAGTGTGCGTTGGTAAAATCATTAATCAAAATCCTGTATTTCTGTCTTGCATGAATCGATGGTTTGTTTATCTTGGCATTACGCTGAATAATCACATACATTGTTTTCAGGTAGAGGAGATTTATGCAACATGAAAAATAAATATCGATACTTCACGCACGTGTCTCATCAATTGGTATACACAATAGCATATATGACAAAGACAAGTGATTTATTAAATCGAGCGCATCACGATTCTTTCTTTGCAAAACCATGATCGATTAAGAAGGAATTAGATAAATTATATCAATATGTTACCAAACTCTATTTCTGTGTAAATTGTTTTGCTGTACACATGACGATAAAGTAACCAAATACGGGACTGTATTGGTAGATACTTGGCATATGATTTAGCATCAACCTGCATATTCTATGAGGAAACCAACAATCATCTGCGCTATAATAGATGCGATCCAATGAAAAATACTTGAACATTTTGGATAAGATAAATATAGCTGTGATTAGGATAGAAAAAACAGATACCAGTTTGACAGTTATAGATTAAATAATTGTCTCAACATCCTGTATTCATATCTATACATATCTGCAACATCCCACATTGCATGACTGGCACTGTGTTCGAATATTGCATTGTTTAAATGCTCCGTAACCTTCCCCAAAATGCTCCAACTTCTACTTCAAGAATGTTGATTTAGTCTTTTGGTCATACTTTATTTAAAATAAAAATTGTTGGCTATCGTCAGCAAACATACCTCGCACTTATACTATTTCCACCTTTTTTCTATTTTGCATATCACTGCCTTTTTGGACGAGAAATTTTACTAAAGCGAATTTTTAAAGCGAATGTTATTGCAAAGTTTCGTTATCGCCATGTTTTAGTTGGTTGCAAGTGAAAGAAGCATACTACAGTCTTTGTGGATTTAAATTAACCTTTTCACCACAAGTTCTCGTTTATTCCCGTTTATAGTCTACATTTTCCTTCAGAAAACTGAGACACAGAAGCTGTTTGAGTAAAAACTGAAAATTGGCTCCAAAATTAGAGCTCATTTCCAGAAATATTAAAGAATATAAGAAAAAAAGTGCAGAATAAATTTGGGCAAGAAAGTCTGGTGGCGAAAAGGTTAAAGTTCAAAAAATATAAATAAATGAATAATAATCTCCACACATGCCGCCAGACTGCAAGCTAATACACACATGAAGTATTGGCTTATTACATATAAATAGCAGTGGAAAAATATTTACATAACTTTGCCAGAACAGCTGTTGCCATGAACATAAATTGTTTGCACATATTGTCATTCCGATAAAAAAAAGGATTAGATAAAGCATGTATACCTGAACCAGTGCACGACTGCTTACTAAACAAGAGGCAATAGAAGTATTATTTGCAATATTTAGCGAATATTTAGAGAAGAATTTAACGCGTTTTAGGGAGATTTTGGTCGATTATATGACACCGTATTGCTTACATTGTACGGGTTAATGTCATTGAGGTACGCCGACAAGAGCCATGAAAAAAATGGGATTCAATTCTGAAATTTCCTTTTTTACCATATACATTGAGAAGCCCTCCCAATTAAATAGTATATATCCAACTTAGCATGCCCAAACTTTTGAATTCGGTTCGTTAATTATGTTGAATTATTTTAAAATCATTATATTATATTATATTATATTATATTATATTATATTATATTATATTATATTATATTATATTATATTATATTATATTATATTATATTAAAAATTGTTAGATGTGTTATGGATAATCTCCGTCATACAAACCAATACAGCTACTAATGTTTTGCAATGACCTTGTGTATTCAAGTGATGTGCTATGAATCACACTCAAATGTATTCATCGAATAACTTCACATACTTCAGTTATATTTCGTAAATCAGATAACAATAATAATAACAATAATAACAATAATAATCATGATTTGGTCAACTTCAACTTCATTCTCCTGCATGCTAAGTGGCTTATGATTTGGAGATCAAGCTTAATTCTGCGAATATATTTATATCCCATAATACTATTAATAGTAACTTAATACTCTAGTCGACCACATTAAATATATACATTACAAGGATTATGAAAATATAAATATTTATATTATTGAAATGAGCAAATTATAATCTACGTCACAATATTAATGTATACTCATCAATCAAATGTGGCATGTGTATACATACCCAATAAAAACAGCTACAAATGTTAGAAAAAACAAAAATTATCGTTGTTACTTTTCTATAAATACTTATTTGATTATTTAACCTTAAGTGGAACTAATAATACGACGGAGTTTTGTTTTCTAGGTGGTTTTGCAGCAGTATTATTTAACGGGGTAATGAAGATGCGTTTATTGGTCATCATTTCATTGGTTAGTCTGACTCTAGCTGCTCCGAAAGATGTGGTAGGTTATCGTACTTTTTGATGTTATGCTTCGCATTTAAATAATGAAAGACACATATTCCAAAGTAAATATAGTTGTGATCTGGTACACAACACAGATGTGTAACTATAGTTTGTGTGTTGAGTACACCTGGCTGCATTACCTGAGTTGGCTGCACTTTCATCAGCATCGTTATCGGTGGATAGCCCCCGCGGAATGATTGCACCTACGTGTACCATCACTAATATGATAATAAATTCATTTAAACCGACACATAAACTTAGATATAACAAAAACGATTTACCAGAAAAACGCTCAACGAGATTCGTATTTCAGTGATCGTTATTATTATTGGGTGAGATTGTTTATGTCTCAAGCGCCATTGACTTGAGATACAACTGCATATTCTAGCGCGTTCTTAACACTTTCACATCAACATTGCATTGTTTTCCCTTTCATCATAAATTCACTGTGTGCGCGCGACTATGCTTGATGTATATATTATATATTCTTACTATTTAGTTTGATTGAGTAAACTCGTATGTTGCAGAAGTATTGCTTAGATGTGTTTCTTATCAGTGTTCTACCTTTCCAAAATGTATATTATTTCATTATTTCTAGAAATCAATTGGGAAGAGGTCAGGTAAGCGAACACTACTTGCATATTCTACTATATTCGTCTTGGTTTTGTTCTTTAAAACAAGCGCCTAAAGAAAGTTGAAGCTAATTCAAACATAAAATGCTTGTCTAAGAGTCTAAGAATAAACGATATATTGGCTTTATTTGCATAATTACTAAATGTGTTAAAATTGCCATACACAATTTTCAAACTGCTCCTAAGCCTATTGAATTATTTTTTGCAAGTCAAGTCATATGTTGAGAATGTGTATCTATGTGCAGATAAACCCATTCAGAACTACCCATTATAGTCCATAATTCATTTTGTTTTTCAAATATTCATTTCTCATTGGTATTATGACGTGCAATGAGTAGAAGGAAATTCATAACCATACCCACACCGCTTAACAACTTACCAAAACTGATGAGTAGTATAGCTTTATTCAATCCATTCACAAATATAAATTAATTAGAAAATATTATAATGATATAACAGTTTATATTTGAGTGGATATAACAATATTGATTTGGTTGATAAATAGTTTTACGAAAAGATTTGATTTCGAATATGTCGCACATGATTCATGTCTCCAATGCATAGCTTAATGCAAACTAACCAAACTTCCCCATCTTTACGAATTTTACCGTATCCTTATTTAATTATAAAAATATGTTTTTAAAAATATGGTCTCGGACTCATCGTATCATTTCCCCCGATTTTAAATTGAAAACGCAAAAATATAAATAAACGGGATATGTATTATTTGTTATGCCATGAATTATCTCTATGAGTATTATTTACGTTTATCTAAAAAAATAATTTGTCTGTGACAACATTTTCCCACATAAAAACTTACGATAATCAATGTATTCGTAAAATATAAAATAATTCCAGAGAGCAACCAGTTTATCCTACAAGGAATTAAAAATAGCTTATTTTTGGTATGGAATAATTGTAATTATTACATATGTACTGCAGTTTATTTTGATTCGTCCCTGATATCAAAATCGGTATTTCCACACCCCATATGCAAATGAGGTCTGAGAGAAAACAAAGTAGTCCCTTTAGGAGTACCGTTTTTTCGAAACATAGCAAAAATAAACAATATTTAGAAGTACGATATTTTTCTCTTGGGGTACATGAATATACTTGCCGAGGGGAATGAAATTTAAACAACAGTAATGGCACTTTAGACAGTCACTTATTTAGACTAAAACTAATTTGCATATAACCCATGCAATAATGTTTTCGCAAATGGTATTTCCATTTCCAACATGGTATTTCCATTGGCAAACGAACTATTTTTATTTTGTAAAGGCAGCTTCGGTGTATTCAGCTGTATTTTCACAAGAGAAGTAGGGTCGCAGGATACACCGCACCACTCGTGAAAATTACTTTCATACGCAACGAAAGACATGGGGAGGGTGTGGAGTTCTGTCATACTATTACACTTATATTATACCCCCTGTGATTAATCAATGATACAAGAATTATTCAATAACGCAACTATGCATATTATAATACAATCACCCACTCATGTTAATGAAAATAATTAAACCAAGTTCGAACTAAATTATTTAATGTTTTCTACTTCAGGGTGTAACCAGAACTACAACATCCCCGCTAACGGGGAGGTTGTAATTACTTCACCGCATTTTCCCGGAAATTACAACAACAACGCTAATTGTGTCTGGATCATCACTACCGAAAGCAATGCGGTTTTCCGGGTGGAGTTTACACATTTTGACGTTGAAGATGAGTATGACAGGCTTACTGTTTTTGATGGATCCAACATGCTTCAATCGTATGACAATTCGAACAAACCAGAATCATTTACATCGACTCACTCAGAGATAAAGTTCCACTTCACGTCAGATTCGTCATTTACTCTCTCAGGTTTCAGGGCGATTATTACATCGCAACGAAGTAAGTGATAGGCCACTAGTGGGCATTTTTGTCAGTGTTCTTTTTCTGAACACGTCATAGTTATGTACAATATTGTTGACCTTGTTTGAAGTGGGTTGTTATAAAAAAAGATAATCCCCTCCAATTATGCATTCGATATAGCACCATGTGTTTGTAGGTAAAGGTTCGACATAAAGTACATCGAACTACTTGTAATATATACTCATCTGGGTCAACAACAGGCGTTGGTGGTGTGCGTCATACACGCATTTCAAACGAGTCTGCATCGCTACCAACGTAAGCAAGCAACGTACCACGCACACATGAAATCGTCCATTAAAAATTGGGGTACTTCCAGCGGGAAACCGTTTATATATGTGCTACCAAATTGGTCAAGTTTAACAAGTGTGCATTGGTTTAATGAAGTCACGTGTCACGCTATTTTCGAAACGCAAGTCACATCCGCGCTCAGCGAAATTATTAATTAATTAATTAATTAAACCAGTGCAAATACTTTAAATAACGCACCCAACAGATCATTAAACAAGTATCGCATAAGAAAAAATAATATACAAAACACTATAACCGGAAGACAAAAACAATACGGCACAAAGGATAATCGGTGGAAGTGGGATATTAGTTCCTGAAAGCGCAAAAAATTGATTTTGATAAAATATGTCACATAATCTGGTGAAACACCGACATTTAGAGTCAAATTGAAGACATAAATCAAAGAACGGAATAAACTGATTGTGGAGTTTTTTTTCTGAAGTTTCGCTGGATATATCATGGGATATATTCAATAAATTTAGGATGGTTGATGGAAAATATACCATCAATATATCTGAATATGCAATTAATGGACCCTTTTTTAACTAATTTAAATTAAACATTTTAAATTACCCAGCAATTTGCAACGAATAAACGATTTGTTGAAAAGTGTATCCTTCATACCCGACAAATATGTTTGCTAAATCAAACGTTCACAAATACTGATGTCATCATCTACAGTGTTTGCGTCAGTCTTTTACTCATCGAAGTAGGGGGAATAGACCATTTTCCGTTCACTGCGAGAATCACGCGTTATGCGTGAAATCGAACGTTAAAACAGGACAAACAAAGGTCATAGCGTTGTAGTGGCGTCAAACATCGCGTGGGATTCGACAAACGCGAAAGTATTTTGGGGGACATTTCCATGCTTAATAATGTGCTGTCCACATTTGATGATAGGCAATTTCGATTAAGTAAGGGTATTCGGAAGCAATATTCCTCTGTCGAAGATCAGCCGGTCGGTGTGAGCGACGAAATAAGGAAATTCGAGTTCAAAATCAAATCGTTCGATTTTTGCGGCAGACGTTCGACGCGCGTTTCATGCATCTCGCGAGATCTTGCAATTGTACGGAAAATCTCCTATTGTATTCAACGATTATGTATTTGTGACAACGAGAATCAATATATTTATACATCACTTTATTCATTGAATGCACAATGATAACATCCGATTCTTTGTACGAATAGGTGTATTCGGAGATCCGCACATGACAACGTTCGATGGACGACGATATAATTTCCAGGGACTATGCTGGTATGTACTGGCAAAAGACTGCTCTAGTGCAACTCCCGATTTTGAGATTACAGCCAAGTTTGAGGTTAAGGAAGACAGCACTACCGATGAAGTGAAAACCAGAACCGCAGCATTCAATGTCACAGTTGGTAATGAATATGCAAACATTGACAGGCTTGACGTATTTACTGTAAGTATTTCAATCACTTATATAGTTGGGAGTAATCGCGCATAAACCATGTGTAACAGCCGTTTCGAGCACATTGTTAAGTCCTCTTTAAACTTTTAAATACCCGTTTGCACTAGTTTATACGCCAACTCCAATACCAATCAATTTGTATACCTTTTCCTATAAATCGCGCCCTCTAGTGGTAAATTGCTTCTATGACGTAAATGGATATCCCGTGTCGATATCGTTTTGCTCTGTTATCGTTCAAAAAATTATACTTTTAAAAGATTTTACAATATTCCAGACGATTAACGAGGAAGAGAGCAAAGACAGTTGTCGATTTTAACGATATTGCCCCTACACATATACATTTATGTATATGACATATATTTTTAAGTTACAGTTAAGCTCAGTCGCGAGAGGGCGCAAGAGAAAGGAATGACTTATAGATTCTTGCTTTCTACACTTAACTAAATTACATATTTTTTGTCTCTCATATATGTATCACCAATATCTGCACTTTACATGTATACAAGTGTTTCACATCCTCGGGGGCGGAGCTACTCACAAGACGTTCCACGTTGCTAAGACGCGCACCACTGCACCACGTATTTCTACGGGCTCTGTGCGAGCTGCTGAGGAACGCGGAACGCCGAGCGAAGAGTAGGTGAAAATTCGAGAAAACAACAGAAACTCAAATTTGAAGTAATCCTGAACAATCAAATTTATATGCGTTACACATTCAGGGGTAATCTTGTTACACTGTTCATGGAAGTCTCAACAACCATTCCAAAGTACCATTTTCTGAAAGTTTTCGGCCTTTGTTTTCACCGTGATGGTTGCCATGCGGTGAAAATGCCCGGATGTCCGCCCGAGGATACTGGAGAAAAAATAGCAACAATGCAGGTCGCACTCACAACACAGCGGCGAACTATCAGTAGCGTGAGACCACGCGCATGCGTGAACATTGTAATCACAGTCTGAAGCTGCATTAAAACTGAAAAATACATATGAATACAAATGTTATAACGTTCAATAACAGCAAATTTCATTTTATAACAACAAGATCCTCGAAATGTC